AGACACCCCCCCCCCCGTACATCAATTAATCCCGCCCCAGCCAGCAGGCACGTGTGCAGCCATGATGTGCACAGCCGCAGACACGGGTGTCGCGGGCTGCTGTGTTATTCTGACATAGGGTTCCACGTAAGTGTTAACTCTCATGACTAGCATCATCGAACCAAACACAAGAACACAAATTGCGATGAAGGCAACACTAGCGTGAAGTGTAATTGAAAACATCGATATCAACACAATACATGTACACGCGACCACAAAGATACAATATCTAGTGATCCGAAGTCGAAATCCGCGTAAGTCGAAGCTTTTCCTCCAGTCCTGTTGGATTCGACTTAGGCGAGGGCGACTGTATCTCTATGCTCTAATGACACTGCATTGTCAATTAAAGTATCCCGCCCCCCAAAATGATGTCCAACTTTTCAATCTCCCTACCCCTCATCCACAAATAGTAACCCCCTTCGGTGTGGATGTCACTGAGGAATAGCCCCTGTAATTTTTCTCTATAATCGTGTAACCGAGTCTGATACTGATAAGATAGTTCTTGAGTTCCTCCAGGACCCAGATAGCTCTAGAACTATAGTCCTTCGCTCCGCCACCAGCAAAGGGCTATAGTAGTATAGTTCTACTTCTATAGAGCTAGGGGCCCCTAGAGCTTGGCCACCCATGCCAGACAGGTTGATAGTGAGAGAACTTACGAAATTCATACTAGTCCAATGCAAATATATGCAATGAAATAGAGTATAATTCGAATGGCATAAATGATGATAATGACATACAGACGAACTATTTAACATTGATAATCATACTCATACATAGTAGCTCCAAGAAACGGTCTTGCTAGGGTTAGAAGATAAAGAAATACAATCGGTCGCACAGCCTGGTCGGGCTAACTCAGTCATATATAGGTCTTCTACTCGGTCTTCTAACACTAGCAAGACCGTTTCTTGAAGCTAAGTGTATTGCATGATTATGTACAGCATATCTACGTGGCTATGTTGTGCCCAAACTTGGAATCTTGCACAACTCCACTCACTTGTAACGACTAACGGACACTCTACACTACACAATGATAATGTGTTTTTTTAGCATATAAATAATATATATATATATATGTTGGTCGCACTCATCACAGCCTCAAATGCTCACAACCACAACCTTCGCTCACAACAACTCGTGTTTTGCATTTAAATGCAAAACTTGCGTGATAGATCTCAAAGGTTACTTTAGAAATAACTTCAGTGACGACAGATGTAATAGAATTAATAAGAATATGAAAAAGGACTTGGATCATTTATATAAATGTGACACTGATAGCTATAATAAATATAAGGATGGAGAACAAATAGAAGACTGGAGAAGGGACAACCACGGGCAATTGTGTGAACAACATATGTGTGAAGGCCAACAGATTGTTAGGCTTCCTGCGCCGAAATCTGGGCTGCAGCCATCAGCACCTTAAGGAAAGAGCGTACAAAACACTTGTACTACCAAGCTTGGATTACTGTTCATCAGTGTGGGACCCACACCAAGAGAAATATAAATATAAGCTAGAAATGATACAAAACAGATCTGCAAGATTTGTTACAAACACCTATGGGCGATATAGCAGTACGTCAGCTCTTTAGTGTTCCGTAATTACTGTTAAGTGTTAAGTGATACTTTACGAGTTATTATGCCAGTAGATGGCGCTACGCGTACATCCGGAATGTAACAAGGAGAAGCTTCCATGTTGTAGTTGAGATGAGTTGAATAAATCTACGCTACTTACATAACTGTGTTGATGCATCATTTAGTAAGACGCAACACGTAACATGGTGGGAGCATGTAAACGAACTACGCACGCCGATGTCTACATGAACAGTCGTACAAGAAAGTGCATTCTAAATGAATGATGGATCGATTGTTCTGGAACTTTGCTCTGTCGCACGTGTATCGTGTGAGCCTGCATGGTTAACATTTTAACTGTGGTGTACTGTTTGTCTACGAGTGTTGACAAGTCGCTAATTGTATATTAGCCCAAGTAAAGGCAAACAACAAGCAAACATGGCAGAGGGCCAAGACGGCGTTAATTTAGCCGGGGCTGGTGCTGAGGCAGCGACCCCCCACAGAAGTGTAAATGGTCAAGAACAACATCCGGTACAACCGCGACCGGTACCAGGCATACGACCACCACAGCCCGTGTGTTATGAATGTACTCCTGCAGAGAACTGGAAAATATTCAAACAAAAGTGGGGTAACTATGCGCTAATCACAAATCTAGCAGCTCAGGCAAGAGAATACCAAGTAGCTCTGTTGTTGCATACATTAGGGGAGGAAGCCCTCAAGGCATATAACGGTTTCCAGTTCAGCACACCTGCATCACAGAGAACTGTAGATGAAGTCTTAGAGCAGTTTGACAAATTTGCAATTGGAGAAATCAACGAAACCTACGAGCGCTATTTGTTCAACAAAAGAGACCAAAAAGAGTCTGAAAGCTTTGAATATTTTCATGCCAGCATAAGGTCATTAGTGAAGACATGCAATTATTGTGACAGCTGCGTTTCATCCATCATCAGGGACAGAATCGTGTTAGGTATACACGACTCTAGTACGCAGCAGGCTTTGTTGAAAGAGAGAAACCTAACACTGGTGACATGCATTGACGTGTGCAAGGCGGCAGAAAACGCGGCCACACAATGCAAGACGCTTCGCCCTGAGACCGTCAACAAAGTAACTGCCCCGAAACAGAAGGCGACGCGTCCCCTTAGAATGGCACAGCAACCACAGGAAAAAATCTGCAAGTTCTGTAGGCTCTCACATGTGTTTGTAAAGTCTGCATGCCCAGCATGGGGGAAGACATGTAATGTATGTAAACAAAGAAATCATTTTGCGAAAAAATGTCCCAACTCCAAGCAGCCACGAGCTAGGGAGGTTCACAGAGTGGCAGAAGATGAATCGAGTGAATCTGACGGGCAAGAGTGGCTCAACTCTGTCAGATCACCTAAACCGTATAAAGAGATAAAGTGCCTAATGTCAATTGGGAAACACAAGGTTGTGTTCCAGGTGGACACTGGAGCATCTGTGAACATTCTGCCAGCTCGTTTTGCACCAAGTGTGACCCCAACGACTAAAAAATTGAAGATCTGGAATGGCAACGAGTACAGCCCTCTCGGAACATGTCGTACAACTGTACGTAACCCTAAGGGGGGCAAGAAGTATTCAGTGGAGTTCACAGTGGTGAAAGAGGATCTAACACCCCTTCTGGGGCTAAAGACAGCTGAGCAAATGAAACTGATAGTGGTCAACGAGGAGCAAGTGGAAAGAGTAGCAGTTGTGGCAATCACTGACAGACATGCTGCTCTGTTTGACGAAACACTTGGAACGTTTCACGGTAGGTCACACCTGAATGTGGACAACACAGTGATACCAGTAGTGATGCCTGCTAGGAGAGTACCACTTGCAATTCGTCCCAGACTGAAAACAGAACTGGAGCGTTTGACAGAGATTGGTGTCATCACTCCAGTAGATGAACCAACCCCGTGGGTCAGCCAGCTCGTGATTGCTGAAAAGAAGTCTGGCAAGCTGCGGATATGCTTAGACCCTCGGGAGCTCAACAAGGCCCTAAAAAGGGAGCATTATACACTGCCAATATTAGATGACATGCTACATGAGTTGAGTCAATCCCGTGTGTTCTCGAAGGCCGATCTAGCACAGGGATACTGGCACGTTCAACTAGACACAGAGTCCAGTATGCTCACGACATTTCAAACATGTTTTGGACGATATAGGTGGCTGAGACTCCCATTCGGCACATCAGTTTCGTCTGAAATCTTTCAGAAGAGACTCATTGATGCACTTGGCGGGCTGACGGGAGTAGCATGTATCGCCGATGATGTGATAATTCACGCAGCAACAGTCGAAGAACATGACCAGGTACTGGATGCATTCCTGGCAAGATGTCGCGAAAAGGGGATCAAACTGAACAGCGATAAATTCCAGCTGCTGATGGAAGAATTAACATTCATGGGTCACCGCATCTCAAAAGATGGCTTGCAGGTTGATGATGAGAAAGTCAGAGCTGTCATGGCGATGAAACCACCTACAAACATGGACGGTCTACGTCGATTCTTGGGGTTAGTGAACTACATGGCCAAGTTTCTGCCCAACCTCACTGAGGTGGTACAGCCTCTACGCAATCTCATGAAGAAGGATGTGCCATGGACGTGGTCTGCGACACAAGACCAAGCATTCCTGCGGGTGAAAGAGATGGTGTCCAACACGCCAGTTCTTGCATTTTACGACCCTACGAAAGATCTAGTATTAGAGAATGATGCTAGTGAATATGGAGTGGGGTCAGTGTTGCTCCAAGATGGTCGACCTGTAGCGTTCGCGAGTCGTTCTCTGACAGACACAGAGACAAGATACGCGCAAATCGAAAAAGAAATGCTCGCTGTAGCATTCGGGTTGGAGAAATTCCATTACTACACATACGGTCGGAAAGTGACAATAGTCACAGATCACAAGCCACTGGTAGCGATTGTGTCAAAACCGTTGTCAAAGGCACCCAGGAGACTACAGTCTCTACTGTTGCGGACCCAGAAATACGTGTTTGGACTTGTATATAAACCAGGTACATCCATACCTGTGGCTGATGCACTGTCTCGCAATCCACTACCAGACAAACCAGTCACAGACGTTGTAACAGTTAACAACGTTTCCTTTTCTCCCATCAGGAGGGGCCGTTTGGAGGAGATTCGGGTAGCGTCGGAAAAGGATCAGACGTTTACAGAACTCAAGAGCACAATCATGAAAGGATGGCCAGATGACAAATCAAGGTTACCACCTACAATCACTCCGTTTTTCAACTACAGAGACGAACTTTCAGTGCAAGACGGTATCATACTTCGAGGTGAGAGAGTAGTTATCCCAAGGTCCATGCGGGCGGATATCAAACGCAAGGTACATGCTGGACACATGGGCATCAACTCCTGTCTACGGAGGGCACGTGAGTTAGTTTTCTGGCCGGGAATGTCGGCTGACATTCGCCAGCATGTTGAGGCATGCAATGTGTGTGCTACATACAGTGACAGGCAAGGACCTGAAACATTGTTCATGCATGAAGTTCCAGGCCGTCCGTGGGAGAAGGTTGGCTCTGACCTGTTGTCCTTTGAAGGTAGAACATACATAGTCACGGTTGACTACTACAGCAAGTTCTTTGAAATTGACTACCTCATTGACACAGGCTCTGCGGCGGTCATAGACAAGTTAAAACATCATTTCGCCCGACATGGCATACCTGACACGGTTATCACTGACGGTGGACCTCAGTACAACTCGGAGAAGTTTAGAACATTCAGCACAAAATGGGGGTTTACACATGAAATGACAAGCCCAGGGAATAGCAAGGCCAATGGAGTGGCTGAGGCAGCGGTAAAGTCGGCGAAAAAACTCATGCGAAAATGTAAGGCATCTAGAGAGGACCCCTATCTCGGACTACTCAACCTAAGAAACACACCAACGGAGAGTCTCCAGACTAGCCCGGCACAGAGACTTGTGGGCAGGAGGACTAAAACTATGTTGCCAACTACATTAGACAGATTAAGACCAACGAACCAGGATGCCGAGGTTACTAAAATGGACGACAAGCGAGCAACGCTGGCCCAGCGTAAGAATGAGTTCAGACATGATCTTCCACCATTGAGGGTCGGTGACACGGTCAGGATGCAACCGATTCAGACAGGGTTAAAAGAGTGGAAGCCCGCTACGGTTACTAAACAGATCAAAAGCAGAACATATGAGGTGACGGCTAGCAACGGTAGAACGTATAAACGTAACAGACAGTTCTTGCGAGTTTCTAGAGCCAATGACGCTCTTGGAAATGAAAAGGTGACTCATGTGCCTACGGTTGTAGGTAAGACCACAACTGGAGAGCTGGTAGTCCCGACTACGTCGAAGGAGCCGGCTGATGTTACGACACGGCTGGATCGTCTGAGGGAGTCAAGGATCAAGGCAACCATGGGTGACAAGGCTGACCAGACTGATGTGAGGCGCCATGTCAGTGAGCCAATCCGGCAAAACCCCCAGAAGAAGGGGGAAGATGATGTGTACCGAACTAGGTCGGGGAGACCAGTGAAACCTAGGATCATCTTCGATGTTTAACTTAATTGTTTTTGCATAGCATATCAGTGTGCTAGTTTAAATTCATTATTCATTGTTCAAGTTAAAGATTTCGTGTGTGATTTAGTGTAAAGGTTGACAAGAAGCCAGCTTATTAGTGTGGTTTGTTTGTAATTCATTATTGACAAGTTAGTGTTTCGGATGGAGAAATGTGTGAAGTTTGACAAGAGTAGTTGAAGTGGTTGTAGTTGAGATGAGTTGAATAAATCTACGCTACTTACATAACTGTGTTGATGCATCATTTAGTAAGATGCAACACATAACATTAAGATCCAACTCGGGTGGCAACAACTTATGTATCGTATGCTTTAACTCGAGTGTAGTGATGTATTTAAGGTTGTTAACCACCTCATAGCAATACCGGCGAATAGATATCTGATCCCGGGGATGTCAGGTACCAGATCTAAAAAAAACGCCACAAATTTCGGCACCTGGACTGCAACAACAAAGCATTCAAATTCTCCTTTTTTCCCCGGATGATTCCAATCTGGAACAACCTACCCGTGGGTGTTGTGGAAACAACGTATGTTGACGTTTTTAAGTCAAGGCTTCACTCCCACATGCACGCGAACCCACTTTAAGAGTACACCAGTTGCATTGCACTCACATCATCATTATGCACCTGTTTATCCCTGAATGCACTTACTACCGCTCATAGGGTCTATGTCCCCCAGGGTACTGCCGGAACGTACCCTGGACCGGAACGTACCCTGGTCACTATTTGATATGGTTAGGGTTAGGATTAGGGTTAGGGTTAGGGTTAGGGTTCGGGTTAGGGTTAGAGAGTAGGCGTAGGCAACTCGCTAGACTCGTTAGTGGAGTAGGCGAGGTACGGTCCGGCATATAAGATAGTACCAGGGTACGTTCTGGTATACCGAACCATACCCAGGGTACGTTCCGGCAGTACCCCGGTGGACATAGACCCTCTCAGCCTTAGTACCTTGTCATTATATCCAGTGTAGTGGACACCGACAAGTACGAGAACATAACATAACATAACAATTGAAACCAGCGGTAGATTATGTGCGGAAAATTCTGGTGATTCGAAACACTAATATTCAGAGAATCAGAGGCGGAATTAATCTTCTCTTTCTCTAGATAATCCCCGCACTTTGTGAATCGATTGCCTTGTAAAATTTAAGAGAGGGTGCCAAGATACAACAACAACAACAACAAACTGTTGGCTTTCCAATACAGCTGTTCTATTATATTTACCATTCGAGATTTCACGCGAGATCGGCGCGAACCTCGTCAACTAACTGCCTTTTGCCATTAGAGATCTATCAATGCATACTGCAAGCCTGCTCACAGTAGGTGTATGTATGTAGGCGTTTTGTTGCGAGGTTTATCCATTTTAAACCCACACGCAGTAGTTAACAGACACTGTAGTTTTTGTTTGTATATGTTTAAAATTTAGTAGTACATAGGCAACTAGAATTGTACATGCATATACTCACTGCAGCAACCTTGTGTAGAAACCACTGGGTTATTAGGGCAATCCCATCACTGGGGATCACCATCCATATAGCTGCTATCGTCATTATGACAACAATGTCAAACAGTTGTGTATAGCTCACCAGCTCAGCCTAAACAGCAAAAACAACACAAAATACCACAACTGTTTAGACTACTGTATACGCCATATTTTTTGCGTACAGATATTTTTGCGAATTCAGGCTTGACGGACAATTTCGCGAGTGGTTAATTTCTCGGTCGGTGAATTATGAATTAATCAGTATTATTCGGTATGAATTATTCGCATGTTGTTATTTTCGCGGTCGGGGACGGGTTCGCGAAATTCTCGAAAATTAAACCACCGCGAAATATACAGCGTATACAGTAATTATTACCTAACACACAGAAAACTCTTTGTGAAACGCATGGAAAGCCAACTCTTATTGTGTGTAAGAGGGTTTAAAGGTTCGATGAAGCACAAACACACAACTAATACTAGGCAGGCATAACATCACTACAAAGTCAAGCACTGCTAATATAAACTCATAGAAATTAAACTGCACTCTTTACAAATAAATAGTTACACTGAATCACAATTAAATTCCACTAATTAATGTCATCTGTGAATGTCATAGAGCATGGTACTTCTGTGAAACTTACGGAGTGGCTGAGGATGGCATGTGCCATCTCATGTCCGAGGACAATTCCTAGTTGATCATCATTGGTGGCAACCTCCAACATGCCACTAAACACAAATATCTGTCCATTCTGCAACACATAATGGTAATAGTATTAGCATGATACCATAGTATTCAGACCCCAGGTTACCCATTAGAAGCACATGGCAATTAGCGATTACATGGGATTTCTATTATTAATGTCACTGATCATTCGTATAACGACTACACACATAATACAATGGATATGCTGGCCACAGGTTCAGTATGGCAACCTGTGCATTACCACAAAAGAATCCAAATCAACTCTATCATTTGTATACTCTTTTATGAAACAAATCATCGCTATGATTGTAAAATCACCCACCGCTTGTGTTTAACTGTTATTTGAGAATTACAAGAACAACACAAGGAATTAGCATAGTTCAAGAGTCTGTTCTATGAGGACCCATCATAAAATATTATTTCCATGTGCGCACAGTATTATCAAGAGCGCATTAACCACAGAGCGTACAACGCTGAAATAGGAAAACCATGGTGTCATTTCAGCAAAATTAATAAAGTTTACCTACCTTATTTTGATACTTCTCTACCGGAATATTATGCAGGAGTCATAGCTAGCCAATATAAGATCAACCGCTTGTCTCTATGATGTTCCTATGCCGAGATATAAAGCGATAAAAATCGAGTACTTCTAGGTAGTCCTAGCGCCATGTCACCGAGTAACACGCCTGTCCCGCGTTTAGTGACTGCTAATATTGCTTCCGGTCGCCGCTTGGAGCGCTGACTCGTTACATCATTACTACAGAGTTTACTACAGCTAGCGTAAGAGTCGGGTCGCCATGGTGATGAGCCGCCACTTATGCTAGCTGTAGTAATAGACTGGTACCCGTGGCGTCCCTTCTCACACACCCCGCTCGATATAGGGCGGGGTGTCTGAGAAGGGACGGGTACCAGTCTAGCTGTAGTAAACGTTATAGTTTGAGTCATGGCTGCGACTGGAAATGTGAAAAGAGATAGTAGAAGGAAAAGGAATGTTAAATCACCAACACTATCGCAGGAGCAAGTAAATTATATTACAACGCGTTCAACAAGAGAAGCAGGATCACAGTGACGAGTTATATTCAGCTACTAGCTGCGGGTACCCGCTGCGCTGGGTAAAATCGTGCTACTAATTCATACTACTACTAATCGGACACAATAGGAACATTGGGTAAAAATCGACAATAACTTTGCACAGAATATCAATATTTACAATTTAGCATGGGGAAAAAACTGTTACGTATGACATTTATGTGACAGCACAACCCAACTTAGAACCCCTAGCTGGAACATAATAGTAATATGGTGTAAATGAGAAAAAGTTATTATAACAGCATGTACGAATGGGTTGCAGTTTTCATTTGAAAACCTCTTGATAAACAATGTTTTTTGTGTTATTCTCTGGTGGAAATATGTAAAGATTCGTGGCGTCTCGAACTGTTGAGCTGCCCACGTACGGCATGTACGTATGGCACGTACGGCACGTAACAGCATGTACAAATGAGTTGCACTTCTCATTTGAAAGCTTCTTGATAAACAATGCAGTCGTAACCTCTGAACTGGTCCTGGCTGTGCTCTGTTTTAGTACTGGTTTCGGTTTCACAATAGCAACAGCTGATGAAGCGATGGCAAGAAATAGTCATCGATTTTTCTGTGTGGCAGCACTGCACAGTGTACGAATTGACGGGTTTTTCAGGGATTTTTCGGTGAGTTTGACGGTTTGACAGGTTTTTTTCGTCTAGGAACACTACCCGGGTACAAGAGATGGCCCTGTAGAAATTCCATCCAGATCGCTTGGGCGGTTTGGCCGCCTATAGGGAAGATACATACATACATACATACATACGAACTCAAATATATATTAGATATATTATTCATCTCATTTATCAATAAACGACGGAAACATACGAGCTTTGTTGAAGCAACATTAGCAGTCACTAAACGCGGGACAGGCGTGTTACTCGGTGATATGACGCTAGGATTACCTAGAAGTACTCGATTTTTATCGCTTTATATCTCGGCATAGGAACATCGTAGAGAGAAGCGGTTGATCTTATATATTGGCTAGCTATGACTCCTGCATAATATACCGGTAGAGAAGTATCAAAATAAGGTAGGTAAACTTTATTAATTTTGCTGAAACGACACCATGGTTTTCCTATTTCAGCGTTGTACACAGTCTTCGACGTTAGGCGGTGGACCGTGGTCCGAGACCACCAAAATCTCTCTCGGTCCAGTAAATTTAACAAGTTAAATGGACCGTCGGTCCACCCGTTTTTTTCAGCCACTCTAGTTACAGTATTTAAATAATGTATCAAAGTATTTATGAGACTACTTGCTGTATAAATAACACTTTTTAAACTGTTTCATCGCTAACCAAACGTCACTTTGATCAATGACTGCGCATATATAGCCTGCGCGCGTCCGTTCTAATTTATGGCATAGACTGGTACTCGCTCCCACCTCTCGGCTTAGTTGCTCGTTGGGCAACTATGTCGCCCAACGAGCAACTAAGCCGAGAGGTGGGAAAGAGTACCAGTCTAATTTATGGCATTGCGTCGTGTAAAATGCGGTCCTAAAAGCAAATAGATCATTAATAATGATATGGGGTTCTGAACACGAGTGC